ATAATTTATGAATGCAAAGATTATATGTAGCATGCTTAGCAAGCTTAAGTTCTGATTTTGGAATGTTTTTTATAACACATTTCTTCATTTGCCTGCCTATTTATTTTTTCAATCAAAACTGCTTCAAGAGTTTTAAGACCAAATTTGGTCGAAATTCCGTCTGATTTTTTTTAACAATAGAAAAAATTCTTCGCAAGCTGCATTTGAATGAGGTATTATTAAGACAGCAAGCGTTACAGAAGGCAATACTTTGTATTAATACACCCATTCATATTTTTTAATTGGCAATTTCTCCCCAGCTATATCATACGCAAATCTACAATTTCTTCAAAATCTCTACTTGATACATGGAAAATTCAATTTCTACTTGATTAAGACATTTTTCATCAATAATGGATGGAAAAGTATTCATCAAGTAAAGAACAGATGAAAAGGAGACTTCAGTTCTCAAGTTGATGTCAGCAACTTCAGCATGTTTAGAAATGGATCACTCAGTGGAAATTATCAATTATATATGAACATGCATGAAACATGCAGTTACAAAAAAAAGCTCGCACAGGATTGAAAAATGATTTCACTTCACTTTCATTCAACTTGGCATTTTTTTTAAATATAGTCTTGTTTCCGCACCAATCACTAAATTTTCATTTTCTTTTTGGTACTATACTTCGAAATGGAATAGACGTTAGCGTAAATCTTCATTTTCTTTAGAATCTGATGGTTTACGAATCTAACAAATAAATTCTTAAAAGTTCAAAAATTCTCTTCTCAATTTGTAATAGGAGCTTGTTGTTGCAAATTATATTACTGTTATAAACAAAGGCAAAGTATTTTCAAAAATAACAGACATTGGTGGTCGGTGACTGTAAATTTTTTAATGTTTTGCATCTCTTCCTTCATTCTCACTGTTATTGGTTTTCTCCAAAAAAATTTATCACAGCATCCCACTGTTCCAAAATCCTTGTATAGATTCTAAAGAGGACAACCATCTCGTACTGAATATTTCAAAATTTTATGAGATTTGCATTCTGTCCCAAATTTGTTGAGCAACTTGAAGCTATGCTTCCGTTCGAATAATGGATGGAAAAGATTCATCAGTAAAGAACGATGAAAATGAGATCAGTTCTCAGTTTGCTCAACAACAAAATTTGTTGAGCAACTTGAAGCTAGCTTCCGTTTCGAATTTCTCCAAGTAAAATATATATCTATTATCAACATTTCAATTCTGAGCCAAATTTAATTTTTCAGTAGCTTTTTTGCATATGCAGAGGTGGCACGGACAACCTTGGGTGATTATACTTGGTTGATGCATTTTGATAAATGATGCTACACCTTTAAACTTCCAATCATATTAAGCATTATCTGAAGAAAATGATAAGCCAATTTTTCCATTCAAACCTTGTTTTTAAAGTTTTCATTATACAATTAAAAATAACCTTCTCCTGATTATTCGTGCATTCAAAATAGAAATCAATAAGTAATTATCACTCCCTTTCTTTACTGTAGTATGTTATAACCAATGGGTACATTTGTTATCATTACTTCCATCGTACTTAGAGAAAATGATTACTGCACACTGATTTTATAATATCAGCAACGTATTTTCGCAAAGCGTTTTCACAATAGCAGCAGTTTTGGTATGACCGCAGCTAAATTTTTTGCTATGCAGAACCGGAAACATTGCTTTGAAAAGCTCTTTGGAATGATCCGAAACAGAAAGTGGTAGATTATGTTCAATTAAAAAAACAAAATAGCATTCGGCTTTTATAGGATCTTGTTCATCTTTTATAAGAAATTTGTTATTTCTTTAGATTTTACATGCCAAGTCTATGCTTTTGAGAAAACAGCCCGTTTACAGTCATTCTTTCGCCATGAGCACTGAAGTCTTGTTGCATACACTGCCGTGTGCGTGATTCACAGAATTTCGGACGCTTGAATGATGGAAATTCTGAAGAATATGAATCTTTAACATCCTGCTTTGATTTTGGGTTCTTCGTTCGAGGCAACATTATGATTAAAAATCTTTCACCTGATTCACAGTTCCACAAGACACACGCAAGCTCTCGCCGTAAACTACACAATGAGCCGAAGCAGCTAAAACACATCAGCGAGAACCTGGGAGACAACAATTGGTGGAACTATTGTAAGTCGTAACGGTTGAGTACTGTCTACGATGGCTACTCAAAACTGGAAACGCACTCAACAGTGATATTGATAACACGATATTCAGCCAATCATCGGATTATTAGTTGGTTCCGTTTGCGTACTGGTTCTTCTCTTGTTTCTGTAAAATCCGTAGTTTTTTCCATCTTTTCGTAGCTCGTTAGTTTCATGAATTCGTAGAAACTACGGAATCCGTAGTAGTGGAGTTATGCTTAAATAAAGTTTCACACTGGGTGATACAATGCCTTCTTTCTCTGCTGAAAAATCTGAGGTCAATTTTCACGTGAGAAGGAAATGGAACTGGCAGATTTATATCTGGGTTACCAGATTATTAGGCAAGGATGCGTTAAATACCTAGGATGTTACCTATAGTAAACTTACATGGATCACCCCTACAAAAGAAAGGCACAAACGGACAATGTTCTAGTAACTTGTAGGCGAAACTTGGTAAACAATGGGGCCTTAACCCAAAATCTACTCTATGGATTTATACTGCCAATCCGGCCAATGCTTTCTTACGGATGCGTGGTCTGATTAAGTGTATTAACAAAAGCACAAGACTGCTTGCCTAAGCATTAGGGGCTTTAATAGTACCCTACTGCGCATAGAATTTTTACTGCAAATTCCACCCTTGAAATTATCTTGAGTGGAAGCAATTAGCCATGTATAGATGAATAAAATGCACATGGTGCCACAGGAGGTTTGGTCATAAAAGCCACCTGAAAAGCCACATGACATATGTCGGACTTGGGCAATGAGATCCCTATAATCTATATGCCCAAAGATGCATTACTAAAACAATAGTTCCAGATAAACTATCTCACTCTATACCAAAAAGGAATGAGATAGAATCTCTAATTGACCTAATCCAACAGGATCATGAATGTTACACAGATGGATCAAAATCAACTTCACTGGAGCGGAGCTAATTATAAGAACCAAGGGATCTGAAGAGATTTATTAAATTCATCTATACTTGGTAAATTAACAACTGTTCCAGCGAGGTTTTTGGCGATCAATATGGCGCCAGGAGCTTTAGCTAAAAATACAGTGATAATATATATATTCTTCTGACGCCAATCAGCCACCTTGCCCTGGCTAATCGTGTCAAGTTACAATACTGTGTTTTGAACTGTACTCAAGATTCAATTCTCTGGCTCAGGCCCATAATACATTAGTTTAGTCTGGGTCAGGTCATTGTGCTTTTGCTGGAAATGAACTAGCTGATAAAGTAGCTAAGATGCTTCGAACTACCCATGTCTGGCCCAGAACCATTTACCCAGTTTCATATCAAATGGTTAAAAAAGAAGTAAGAAGCGGAATAAAGAACAAACATGATGATATATGGTCTAACTACTAGATGTGCCTTCTAAATGTGCTCAGTACACTTAACTTTTCAGGTAAACTCATACACCTCAGTAGAACAACTACGCCATAATTCAAATTGTTATGGAATGTTATCTAGCTAAGCATCTCCCACAAAGTGGTCTTGTCGAATCTCCTCTCTGCCCAGCTTGTGAGAGAGAGAAAAACACCTTCACTTTTGGGACGATGTCTGGTGTTCTCTGCCTAAAACAATTCCTTGGGTTCCCTATATACCTTTGATCAAGCCCTTTTAACAAAGGGCTCTCTGGGATAATAGGGTTCTGATGTATACTAAACACCTACAGGTAAGGAGAATATGAAATCACAAAAAAAAGCATAGACCCTATGAGTTTTTTTTTTTTCTTTTTCTTTTTTTTTTTTTTTTTGAAAAGAACTATGCCGATTTCCCTCTCATAGTGTTTAGAATATAATTTGAAAACAGAATCAATCTTTATACTACCTGGCATTTGGCCTGAGAATGCACCTCTCCCTCCTTATTTTATTTATTTATTGACTCTCCATCGCACTTGTTGGTCAAGAATTGTGGTGGTGGTTTGGGGGATGAATCGGGTTTTCCATCCAATAGGGAAGTTTTCACGATCCAGCCGACCCTTGAACTTAGAGATGGGACTTTGCTGATGCTATAGATTGTGTCAGTTTGAGATCTTATCTATTTATTATACCTTTACGGGAGTACCATTTAAATCCCTGTTTAAAGATCAAATGGCGGAAGAGTAATGGGCAATTTTGCCTAAACTCCTTTCCTTCTTTTCATAAGAAGGAAGCGGCCCTATTGTTATGTTGTTATGTTAGTACACTTTTTTAGCTATGTATTTTAATAACAAGTACGGGTATAACATGCTTTTTCTACTTTTTTAATAATATTTCCTATTTCAGTACATCATACAATAAATCACAAGATACATTTACCACTTAATGTATGGTAAGTTATAACTAAAGTCAACTTTTAAATTACTGAAGTAATGCAGGAGAGCAATGTCCATGGTTAACTCAAAATCATATTTAATCCACGGGCAGTAAAAAGAAAGAAAGAAAAGAAAAGAAGAATAACCTGCATTATAATCCAACATAAAATACTATTAATAATTTGCCTACATTTTCAACCAATTTAATCTGGAGAATACTTTTATTTGGTTAGTTTTGGTTTTTAAACTGATTATTTGTGATAGCATTTTCATCGTCATGCAATAAATAACGTCTATTTTCAATTTTGTAAATTTTTTTAAATAGGGCTTGATTAATCTGCCTGTGGTAAATCAGCAGATGAATGTATTAAGATACTTAGACATGTTTTTAATCTACAGTGCTTTCAGTTTATGATGAAAACACTGTAAATATAAATTAGATTGTAGATAAATACCAGATCACAACCTTAACAACAGGAACAGTTAACAGTTATTGAGGAATATTTATGCTTTTAAATTAGAAGCATCAAGTATAAAAGTAATTACCTTAGGCCACCTATTCCTCTTAATGCACAATATAAACGCAATAAAGAGCTTGCCTGAACTACTTTTGCATCAGGTAAATTATGATGATCAATACTAAAAAGAACTAAATTCTTTAATCTTTGTAACAACTCTTCTCTCAGCAGATGAGTAGGATTGCCATCACCTTCTGGTTTCTATATTTAACATAACAATACAAATACATTAAAACATTAAAGATTCCCTAAACACTTTTAAAAAAAGGCAAATAATCTTTTTAAAAAAATTAATATTACCTTTTGGCAGTTTCGAAAATACTGTCCAAACCAATTTCGAACTTTGTCATCACTTCCTAAGAGCAAACCACTAATAAATGCAACAAGATCTCCAACAATGGAATCATGATTTACATAATTTCCTTGCTCCAAGCGACAGAAATCTAAAGTCAGAATTATTGTTAATCCAGGCATATGACACAGCTCCACCTGAAATTAGAAATGTGTAATTCTGAAAATAAAATGGACTCTAAAACCATGGAATGACATGTTATAAAAAATACAGCATTCAAATATATATGTATATAATATCTAAATTAGGCAGAAACTTACAGCTTTTCCTCTAACAGCTAAAATTTCTGACATATTCATTTGACATAAGACTCTCAGAGCTTGTATGCGTACTTTACCTAATGGTGAATCTTCATCTTGCTTATCTCCATTGGTTATAAGTGTTGTACAAACTGGAATATGTTTAAAAATTTGATAAAATTAAATAACAGTAAAAAGAAAGTAAAAAACATTTCATATTATTTTACCTTTTTTAAAAATTGTTTGGATGATTTATAATTTTGCCAGCCAAGTTAGGGTAAATGATCTTGAGATGTCATTTTAGCTTACTTGGGAACATACTTTCGAGTGCAAGGATTTTTAAACAAACAACATACTGTGGTCTTTTATCTTCTTTTCTCCTCTGCCAGTTGTCAATGTCACTCAATCTTGAACTAGTGTTACTATTGGTTTGCTTGTTTAATAAAGATCTTTTCATTTTGCAAAATATCAGTAAGGACTCATTGATATATTGCAACATTTTCTCAAGATTACGATTTATATTTTTCATAGATGTACAAAATTGTACACACATAAGTTTATAAGGGAAATCCAATGACAAATACAGCACTACTCAGGTAAAAAAAAAAAATAGTTTAATTTTACAGTACTTCTGTAAAGGAGAGTTGATGACATAAATGGAAAGTGACTAGAAAAAGAATAAGAAATGCTACTGTTTACACATGGAGACCCTGAACCCCTGAAAAAAAAAAAAAAAAAAAAAAAAGTTAAGGCCCCTTCTTTTATTTTTCTTTGCCTGCTATTTGATGGAACCACTCACCTTGCTCATACCTGACTGCACCCAGATTTTTCTGAAAGTTATCAAGATGGTTATGTAAAAAGTGTAATTTGATGCTCAAGTAGCAATTAAGCTTACGATGACATCATCAACAAAGGTGTTTTTTTTTTTTTTTTTTTTCTGTGCTATTCATCACCCATCTCTGTAACTAATTTATACTTTTATTTACATACTGTAAAAATAAAATGCTTTATTGAACTACTATTTCAGTATTTTTTAACAAACATGATCTATCTTGAATAGTGTACATAAATAGATACCACACATTCTGGTACATAATGCACACATTTAATACACAAAATAAGATCAAAAGGTGTGCATTATGCACCAGGTATAAAAATGATAGATTTAAAAATAAGCAAAAATTAGATTTCTACATGTACCTAAATGCTGTTTTTAAAAGAAATTACATACCTTATGATCTTAAAAATGTTCATTATCAGATAACATTAAAAAGTTTGTAATATGCATCTTTTGTGATATCTTCAAGCACATCAACAAATTCTGTTTCATCTTCACCATCACTGTTACTCTGATCCATATCTTTTGCTACATCTAGAATGGTGGTTAAATATCTGCATTTTTTTAATCAGGTTTAATTTCATTCTACGTTTTTATTATCCACTCACACATGACTAGACTGGCATGATGCATTTCGCTTTCAAGTAAATGTTTTTTCACCTAACATCTATGTATTCCACTCTCATTCTAAATTTTCTTTAAATGGTTTATTGATACATACATTTAAAGGCTGAACCAACAGTATTAATCAACCTGGAATAACTGCCAAGTCTGTATTACATTCTTTCGACAATTTCTTTGTATTATCCGTTAAACGAGACCTGAACATATTTCAAACTAAAAGACTTTCTGGATTCTTTAAGGCAACAGGACATTTTGCCAAACATTTCTTATCCACAATTTCATACCATTTTCATCCTTTTTTTATGAACATGAACAAAAACATCATTTGAGAAATCTCATTTCAACACCATCTTCATTTTAAAAAGTAAACATAGATTTTAATGACTTGTTGTTCTGATGTGAACCATTTTCATTCTTTTGACGTCGATTGTTTAATTTCCTACCATATCAAGCATTACGAGAGTTTCACCCATACTTCCAATTTGTTACAGTAAATCATTTTTTTTTTCCTTCATAAATGAATAATATACTTCTGGAAGCTTACCAGTTTGTTGTCCAAATCTTTTGGAAGCCTTTGTGAAACTCGTTTTTCCTTGTACAACTAAATTATTCCTTGCCATAAATACCAACTCAAAGTCATTATACAGAATGAAAAAACAAAGGGCTTCAAAATTCCAAAAGATAACATACGTATATCTATATTCATTGAAGGATTACATCAAGTAAAATTTGAGCTATATACAGAAGTTTTCTGAAAGTAAAAACTAAGTCCCCTGAAAATGGAAACCTTACAGATATTAATAAATTGCAAATAAATCTTGCAGTACATCCTATTAAATTCTTGCCAATTTAGAGAGAAATTCCTGACTGGACTACCATTAATGTCAACAATATTCCAAAAGCAGATTTTAGAAATTGAAATCTGTAGTTGTTGACTGCAAATTCAAAATATAGTACTATTAATTTTAATCCTTATTTCTCCAACTGCATCTATAAAACCTTGGCTTAGTTACAAAATAATAATTGTTATAAAAATAATAATTTAGAATTTTTGGAAGTATATGTTTTATATCATTATGGTTTTAGATGCATGTAATTTTCTTCATGTAATAGAATTAAATGAAAATTAAATTTAAAATGAAAATTTTGACATTTATTTTATTCTGTATACATTCACTTTAAAATCAGGCAAAAAAGGAATCTTAGGCTAGTGCACATTTTGAAATAAATATGTAAATAAAGCTATTAATTTAGAGAGTAATCAGACATAGGCCCCTCTTCTTCAGGTGAATTTTTTTATTTTTTTATACAGGCACAAGAAGCAACAAACATTTGACATAAAAATCAATGATAAAAGCAAAATATGTTATTTTTGTTCAATGTACCTGCTACAGCTTTTAATTTTATAGAATATTGTTAGGCAAATATAACTTTAAATGAGAAATTATGTTTTCTAAAGATTAAAAAATTTTTATTGTAATAAATTATATAAATTTAATTTTTTCAGTCATATACATGATAAAAATATTAAAAATAAATTTGAATAAATAATATGAATACCTTCTTGAAAACTATCAGGTGAATTAGCAACCAATCTACACAGCAAGTATATCCCATTAGGCACATGCAGAAGAGCCTCAGCAATGTCAGGAATGAATAACAGTCCAGGGAGTTCTATTCGATATAGAAAATGAATGCATTAAATATATGCACATATGGAAAAGCTTATACAATACAAAGTTGGAAATCTAGACTCGTTGGGACTGGGGCAATTCCAGATTTGGGATTTTTCTGGATATTAGATCGTCAGTTTAAATCTACACTACTGGCCATCCAAAATGCAACATGAAGAAGGACAAGAAATATCAAAGCCAAATTTATTTCAGAAAATACACCTAACATCAATGTTAATTGATTTTAAATACAGTCTTCTTCGAGATCAGAAACAATAAATGTTGCCTTAACATTTTTTAATAACCGCTGCTGCACGCCCATGGCTTTGAGTGAGAAAGAGGCTTTGGATATGTTGTTAGCGAATGCTGCCTCCACACATAGCCAAGTTCATCTGGTGTACCCATGGATGCAGCATGCCTGGCTAGGCATTCTCCAATCATTGACTACACATGCTCGATGGGTGATAGATCTGGACAATGGACAGGTCAGGATAACAATGCAGTATAGTGGCCTAAGGAAAAAGCACTGTTTGAATGTGTGGTTGCATATTTTTGAAATGCAGCTGCAGGCATACCCCGAAGTCAAGGAAGGAAAACAGGGTGCAAAATCTCAGAGATATAGCATTATCTGGTAAGTATAATGATAATGCACATGAGAGGATTGCGAGAGTAGAATCTAACTCTGCCTCACACCGTAACACTGGTGCAGGACCAGTATCATGATGCATAACACAGCAGTCAAGCAGCCTCTCTCCACAGTGTCTCTAAACTCTAATCCAACCATCATAGCACTACAGGCAGGAGCATGATTCGTCTGAAAACCCATCATGCCATTCAGACGTCCATCTCTGCCATTCAGTGCATTATTGCAAATGTCTGTTAAAAGCAAATTATGTAATGGGCATCTAGTGAAAAGTCCATTGTACTTTAAATAACACTGAATAGTTCATGCAGATACCAATTTTTCTCTTACACATTGCATATATTGTGATATGGTTGCAGATGTACACAGTATGCCTGTCTTCTCTTGGAGTGGTGCAATGAAACAGTCGCCTGCCCGTAAATCATTCTCCTGCATCCGCCGATTCCATATTCGCATGGCCGTTCCTCGGCTATGTCAGATACAATGACTGATTTCCTCCTTTAACCCGCAAACTCTGTATGCAATTCTGCTTTGGCTGAACTCAGAAAAGTGCTCAAATGAGGCTCATGTTTTTCTACAAGGCATACTGAAGCTGCACAGACAAATCATCTCAGCAGAGAAAAATTCACATTATTCATAATGGAAATTTTTCCTCCCTTTATATATGGGTTGTAAGGAGCACTGCAGTCACTCATGATGTACACATGCACTGAAATTGTAATCATTTGTATCTCCATTATGTTACATGATGCAAGTTTAATGCTGTTTGGATGCTTCCTTCATGGAGTTGCATTTTCAATGATTAGATGACATGTAGAAATTATAAAATAAAAAATAAGAAATAGTAATTTATGAAATTATGAAGCATTTATGACCATAAAAAAATTAAAATTTATTTAAAAAAACTCAATATTTGCTTGCTTTATTAAGCATTTCTTTCAATGTAAGTTGTTTAATTTGCTTCATTTTTTGTATTAGGCCTTTCTCTTTAATTCTATAGATAGACATAATTTTTGGTTCAGTTGCAAAGTTCTATTCCTCAAGTCTTATAATTGCCATGCCAAGAATTTTCACTAATTATCAAACAAAATTTTTTCGTTCTCAGCAGCCTCTCTTATCACTTTCTTTAGTATCGGTAGCGATATTATCTGGATTTAGATCCATACTACAGATTTCGCTATCTGTTATTTGATTGATGATTAGGGTATTGTCATCGCAATGAAAATCTTCTGTTATATGATCTTTATTAACCACTTCTCCATATTTCTTCAAAAATTCTATTACTTGGCACGCACTGATGTAGTTAAGCGTGAATTATATTAGTTTGGTTATTTAATACACTTATGACTATTTCCCACATATTCTTAAGGCGTATCCGAGTCCTGAAAAAAAAATTCCTATATACTTAAGGGTTATCCAGGGCCGGCACTAGATGTTTTGCGACCCTGTGCAGTCTCTATGAATCTTAAAATTCTGCTCCCAAGCACCTTCCTAAATACAAAAGATTTTGTCGCCCCTAAATTTTGTATTACAGTGCCTTTTAAAATTCTAAAGATTTTGACATCTCTTATTTTTATTGCCTCATGCTTCTCTAAATTCTAAAAATTTTGCGTACCCTAAATTCTGCAACACAGTGTGGCCAAACCAGCTCTGGCACTGGTCCTGATCTCAGCTGAATAACAAATCAGTTATTCTCAATTCGAACAGTACTAAATGCGATCTTTTGGACTATGAGTCTATAATTATCATTTACAAAATCTGTTTTTTCCACATGGAAAGAAATTTCTGTTAAATTTCTTTTTGTCGATACACTGAATATTTCACACCAGAGTTAGCTGTATTCAACATAAAACGTTTTCTTTGGTATTCAATTACTAATATTAAAAATAAAAATATTTTTAAAAAATGCTCAGACATCACTGAATAATTTCTCAAGCTGCAATGAAATTAAAAAATAATAAACAATGATTCATCATGTTGACATCACTGCCAAAGTTAATTTAAGAAACTGGACTCTCCACATTTTATTATGAAAAATATCAAATGTACAAGAGTAAAAAAAAAATTTCTAAAAAAAAAGGTTGCTAGTAATCTGGCAGTCTAGATTTGGACTTTGTACTGATTTATTTCTTAATCTAATTTTATAATTTTCATAGTGAATAGAACAATAAATTTTCAGGCCTTGGAAGCGGACTTTACTGATTTCATCTTAAAAATTGTGTAGTTACTCAAGGTGGTCTCTTTGAAATATTTTAGGGTATTTTGAACTCTTTTAATGCTTAAAAAAATTTTACCATGCCAGATGCATTTTTTTTAACCTTACTTATTCGACCCCAATGAACTCATCCAGATATCTGTCCCTAGATGGCAGCACAGGCTAGAGATTTTCTTAATTCAACTAACACCGACTTTTTGTCACCTTTTTTTATTCTCGCCTACGGGTGAAAAAGGTGCAATTGCACTGTATTTCTAAACTACCATGAAAAGATACTCAGAAATAAGAGGAGGCTCAACTTTATTCTGTATAAATAAATGATAATTATTCTTTACTATCTGTTTTTATGCAGCTCATAAAAAGTTCCCATGAAAAGTTCAATAATGCTGTACTTTCATATAGTGAGGAAAATATACAACTTAAAATAAATATCAATTTACAAATCATTAAAATATTTCAACATATCTATAACTAAAGTACTATATTTGTTAGTAACTGTAAAATTATAATGCAATATGGCATGGTAAGAATTAATTTTTATTAAAAAATTCAATTACAAATATAAATCTTTTCAATAAACATAAAAACTAATGATTATTTCTTTTTAACATAAAAATTAATAAAGTTTATATAAATCTTTACTCTTAATACAGAAGTCAGCATTTCAGCTTATTAAGACATATGTTAGAGTCAAACTGTGCTATAAGTACAGTAAAAGCCATATTACCAACTAACAAAAAGCTCAAATAACAGGAATATTGATTTTTTTTTAGTAAAAAACTGCACAAACAAGACTTGCTAAGCATATGCAAGACTACTATTCAGAATTTCACTTATAACATCTAAAATGCAGTTACACAGCTCTCTTACAGATGATGTACAAACTTTGTCCCGTTGTATTCCCACAAACTTTTGTATCTGTCACATTGTTCCAAGAACTAGTCCTTGGAACTGGATACATTTTGTAGATGTCTTTTCTGCTGAACCCTTTTCGATAAACAAAAACTATCACCAGACAGCATAATTTAGTGCCAATAATGGATTAGCATGATGTTACAAAAAACATAAGATATCCATTGTCAATTTACATATATCTAATTCTCCATGAACCACTTAAGGTTTTTTAATAAAGGATTAATAGCTATTTATATTTCTCTTGCAATTTGAAACCTACCTTTTATGGAACAGCATGAATTTTCAAAGTTACAGTAGCTTAGCATTAAGCAAAGTGTGCATTAGTCAACATGAGATATGATTTTATTTGAAAACAAATAAACAATGATGATGCAATATGAAAAATTATGATAAGAATTTAAATCTTTTTATATGCCATATCCATAACTAGTATATGTTATTACCTAACTAAGTAAAGAGTGGTCTGTTCTTTCAAATTCCTGCAAGAATGGTTAGTTCAGCAGAATCTCTCCCAACTTTCTTGGTCGATGGGATTTCATAATCAGTTATGCTGTTTTTCTTTCACATGCTCAAGGCCTACAGAAAACATTGGCACTTAAGTCTGAAATGCATTTTTTTGCCAAACCTTACAGAATTTTAAATGTAGGTTTTTGATAATAATGTCTCTTTTTATTATTTTAGGCTGAAAATTCCAGCTTTCAACTAACTGGAATATTTTAGAAAAATTTAATAAATGAGAGACTTGTAATGCTACTGCAAAGAACATAACAGAGTTAAAATGTCAGAGTAACATTGTCACCAAACCATGTGATTTCGCACCAATAATGGATAAGCATAATGTCACAACACAATAAGAAGTTTGTTTTTCTTTAACATAAATTTGATTAATTATCGACAAGCCAGTTTAATTTTTGTAAACAAAGAATTAAATTCCATTTTTTTCTCACATTTTGAAAAAAAGATTAATATTTGGAACTGCATGAGGTAGATTAATTTCAAAGTTAATGATCCAGGCATAAAAAAAGCCATAATATGCATCAGCTAATTTTGAATTTTTAAATCCATCTAAGTTTAACTGCATATAAATTCACATGCCTAGTGAATTTGAACACAAGAGAAAACAGAAGCAATGCGAACGAAAAGGAAATTAAAAATTATATATAATGTATCTACGAATGCTTAAATGTTTTTGTTTTCTGATGCGTCATTTCCTTCTGAACATCCAATAGCAAAGCAACAAACCATTTTATCACTTTAAATTACGAAAACATTGAAAATATTCTCGAGAGTATCATTAATGTCCATAGCAACCCATCATAAAAAGGGACTGACCAATGATCAATATGAGAATAGGGTGAAAGTTGACTTGTTTCCAGCCTTACATTTGGGACACAATGTCCATCCCATAATATATTTCTACGGGAATATCATGCAATTATGAAAGGAGAAAAAAAAAAAAAAAAAAAAATCAAGTATTACTACAGTATGATATTTTAACATTCTTTTATTATATTATATTTCTGTGCCTATAAATATTAAAAAGCATATTTTTTGCATGTAAAACAAGAATTAGTAGCTATCAGTAAATATCCAAACATGTAATACTTATGAACATTTATGCACATTAATATCTTTTACAAAATGGATGTTTTCAGATGCTATGATTGCAGTGTGTCACAATTAGTAGATGCAAAGCAACTTTAACAAAAAATAATGAAATTACTTACCTGCTTGAGCAATACAGAGAACATCAGCAATTTCATCTATGTACACAATACTTTCAAAAAGTTCAGCAGTTTGTACACTATCGATATACCCTTCTTTAACCTGAAGTAAAAAAAATTCTTGCAGTTTTCACAACAATATAGAGCATAAAGATATCAAAACATACAGAAAAAACAAAGTTTGATCACCAAATGCTATTATGCAGAATAATACTTAAGCAGTCAAAATATTAAAAGTTTGCAGATTTTGCAATTTGTTATTAACCAGCCCAATGGAAAATTGGATACAAGGATTACTTTTTATTTAATTTGTACTCAATAATGTATCAATGTTTCAGCACATACAGACTACAGTGATTCCCAAAGTGGAAAGGTACATAAAAAAGGAACTTTTTAAATTTCGTTTGGATTTTGATATTTCACTTGTAATGAATAAAATTTCATTATAAGTGAAATGTGAATTCATTACAGGTGAATAAATTTTTGTTACAAGTGAAAAATCATTCATTATGCTAAAAATGATGATCATGACAATTTGATGACTCGATGGGTAAGACAGCATTGTAGCTGCAGTGTGCCATTGATGGGTCCAATGCTAATAGCTCAATCTGAAATTTTTCATGAGAAAAAGAACTTAAAATCTGAGCAAATAGACTCAACAGATTGGTTAACCAAATTAAAAAATTGCCATGGTATAAAGCAGTTAAGTATGCTTCTGTCTTTCAAGTGCATTTCTTCAATTAAATTATTTGCATATCTTTGCTACAGTCATCACTCATATATTAATATAAACTACTGCTTTTTACTCCTCTTACATAAAGCAAGAAGTAAAATAAGTTTTAATCTAGTAGAAATTGGATCCACTTAAATTAAAAAATATTAACCAAAAAAATCCAAAATATCACACAAAAATTCATATTTTTTCCCAAGTTTCCGATATGAAGAGCTTTCTAGTGTGCGCACGTGACAACTTTTAAAGCAAACGTTTCCACACTGGTGTGAATTAACGTACACGGAAAGCAATTTTTTCCACATTTCGCTCCAATGGACCACTGAGAATGCAGCTTGTCATAGAGCCATAGTCATAAGACATAAAATGCAGGAGTTTTATCTAATTTGTGAGATAGGGTCTAAACCATAGCAAATTAGAGAAGCTGAATTTGCACCTGCGTGGATGTGACTACAAATCTCCTTAATTCGATGTGATTAGTCGACTCTTATACAGTGAAAGGTCGTTAATCCGGACTCGTCGGGACTTCGGCGATTCCGAATTATCGATTTTTCCAGATCATCAGTTTAAATCTCGTAAGATGGCATGCAGAAATTCTAAAATTAAAAATATGAAACCGTAATTTATGAAATAAAAAACAATTATGATCTAAAGGGTATCAAAATTTACAAAAAAAAAAGCTTAATATTTATTTGTTTACTTTATTAAACATTTCTTTCAATGTAAGTTGTTTAAGTTGCTTCGTTTTATGTGATAATATTTTCTCTTTAATTCTATAAACAGACATAATTTCTTGTTCAGTTACAAAGTTCCGCTGTTCAAGTCCCGTTAATTGCTGTGCCGAGAATATTGACTAACTTGTCAATCGAAATTTTTTCGTTTTCACTAACCTCTCTGTCACATTCTTCATGTCTTTATCCATTTTTTGCAGCAATTCCACTTTTTGTTTGTTGGACATCGAAACATACTTTCGTTTTGTAGATCCTTTGGAAGTTCCAGCATCGGAAATTCTATTTGACATAATCGAAAGTTCAAGTTTACTTTTATAAAATTGCTCTTACAGACTGCAAAAAAATAATAAGCGGGATCCAATTCGAAGATTAAGGAACAACGCAATCATTAACATTAACTGAAATAGATAATTAGATAATTTTAGCTTACACCGTCCGTTATACATTAAACGCGCAGGCGAAAATGTATTCTGTACTTGCGCACACGCATATGCGCAGTAGTCAAGGTCTTACGTGCATGCGTAAAACGCCTGTGCGCATGTGCCAACGTGGCGCATGCGCAGAAAGTTTTTAGCTTTGAGGTCCGGATTATAGATCATTCCGGATTATGGGTGTCCGAATTAACGACTTTTGACTGTAGCAAGTCGGCATAAGGTTGGAAACTTTGAACTTTATGCCAAAAGCCCAAAACCAGTTTTGTGACATAGCTAGGTCTGGTTACGTAGCAACACAGCTTGGCTCGAACCAGTTATGGCATTTACACCACCGTCTGAATGCAGCCTTAGAAAAATAGATGTACTTCATTACTGCCTTTTGGGTCTATTTTTCATGTAATTTTACAAAAGTGCTTGCATCTAAAACTCTCGACCACCAGCAAAAGTTTTTTTTTTTTTTAATTTTTTCTAGTAGGATATGCTTAAGGTTTCACACATGTGCTGTACATTTTCCCATAATAAAGCCTGTGGAGGGTCGATTCTTAATTTCACTTCAGCGCTAAATAAAACACTATGTAGAAGAAATAATCATTTGTTAGCATAAATCTACATGATGAATAATTTGGCTCAGTAACTGCCTTATTGCTTGGCATATTAAACCACAATAATTTATGTGTTTGCTGATGATTTGAAGCCCTGGTGAATATTTTATAATCTTTAGGCCAATCTGACAAATCCTTACTTGTTATTTTTTGCTTTATCACCACATGACTATCAACTCAAATAACTAACAAAGTAAATGTCTAATATATTTTTTGTTTTAAATACCAATGATTACTAAACAGCATGGTAACCTTTTTATGCTGACATTATGCGAAGCAACAATTACAAACTCGAGCCAACTGCTTAGCAAAGCATGTTGACAAGGAGAAATTTGACAGAAATTTCTACAAACAGATTTTCTAAACAATATTCAAAGGCTATTAAATGCTGTTTGAACTGTTTGTAACTGTTTTGTTGTTTCAATAAACCTGACAGTTATTTTCACAATTCACCTGCCATGCTTTCCGATGCGTAGTAGGTTATGATCTATTGGCTATCCCCTGCACAATATGTTTAAGTATGTCTTCTTTTATCCTTGCACACCTCTTTACAGAGTGATGACCCTACAGTCTCTCCACTATGGAAAAATGCCATATATTATTATAACTGGAAAATGTTTATGGTTAAAAACTGCCAAAATGCATGTCAGGTGCATAATGGAAAAGTATGGAAATACATACTTTTCTATTACGTATATACGCCTTTAGTATTTATGAAAATTTATTTCATCAGGACTCAGATAAGCCTTAAGCATATGTGAAAAATAGACGTAAATATAATAAATAATAAAATTTAGACTTAATTTCTTCCACATGCAATAGGAACAAGACAAATTTTAGTGGAAAACATGTCTTTTATTAACAAATCTAGTGCATAGCAGATGCTTGCTAATCTTTAGAATGATAGCCATGAATTTGAAAGTTTTTGAATATCATAAACAAAAAGCAAAGTTTTCCAATTAATGGAATTTGTGAAGAAATGTACAGAAATAGTAATAAGTGAAGATAATATAATAGATGTATTCCGTTGCAACAACAATGCCCCAATAATCAAGTAACTACCTGATGGCGAAATCTGTAGTATCGTTCCAAATCCAGAAAATTTTGCTACTGATAATGAACTCTGATGTTTTTTTAAGTGGAAATAAGTCGATGTGTACATGGATAAAGCGAGTGCGCAATGCCTAGTTTGTGGAATTCTGTGATTTTTTTCAAGTGAAAACAGGTCAATGTGTACATGGATACCGAGTTTGTGCAATTCTTTGACTTTTGGCTTTGTATAGCGGCAATTTTAGATACACAAAGCAAAATAACAAGTCAAATGCACAAACTCGGTATACATGTACCACCAAAAATCACCAATTTTCGCCAAGGGGATCCCGCAAATATACTTTTACCTCTCTCTCTTTTTTTTTTTTAATATATACTTTTGATTCTCTTAAGGTAAAAAATGCTTCATTATTTCATAAACAGTTATTTCAGATTTTTTTTATTTTATAATTTCTATATGTCATTTTCCTAGATTGAAATTGATGATCTAAAATCCAGAATCACTGAAGTCCCAACAAGTCTAAATTTCAAACTTTGTACTGCATTATAAATATTTTCATGTTCAAATGCATTTTAACTATATAAATAAATCTCTGAGGACAATATAAGTAAACTGCTTTTTACCTGAGCCATTACACATAACAATTCGCTAAGAAACAATCTAAGCCTTCTTGCAGCATCGCTACGTTCAAACTCCAAAGCTAAACCATTTGGTAAAACAGGAATTAAGGCACTTTCACTACCAGGTCCAACTCTACATCTGAAATATATTCACATAATGTACGCACTATAAAACAAATTACACTGAATTATTTAAACATCAGTTTTTGAATTAATGTAATTATTTTAACGCTTTTGGTATGAAACTATAAAAAATTAGGTACTATTCCGTTTTGAGGACCGTAAAAAACCGCCAAACTATTGATGATGCCAGTGCTGCCAAAAATAATTGCGGCAACCCTAACGCAAGAAAGGAAGTATAATAGTAAATAACTATCTAAAGATTATTATTTTAATTTAGATGAAAGGTTAATTTCATATAATACTTTTTTATTATTAAAATTTATATAAAAAAGGCTAAACATAACTGAATGGAAGCCTAAGAGTAAATAACTATTTCAGAGCATTATTACAAAAAAAAAAAAAAAAAAAAAGCCTAAAAATAACTGAATGGATTCCAGCATCGCAATTTCGCTACCGAGTTATTGCTAAAGCATAATTTCATCTTGTTGGTTGTTCAAACATAATTTTCTATAATGAATGATGCCTTTTCTTAGAAAAAATTCCATTGCAGACTTTTCATCATAGACAATTTCCAAATCGTTAAATCCATGGGATATCAAAAAAGGGTTTAAAAATTAAACTAGTATTTCAATGGTGTTTTAAGAAATATAGAACTATCTAAACTTACACAATTTGAAATCAGCGCGTACGCTAGATTTGGTGCACTGTCAAATGGGGGTGTTTGCTAGATTTGGCGCTTTTACGCATACATTTTTGCAATTTTTTTACAGTCCTCAAAACGGAATACTACCAAAAATTATCTCATTTCACCTAGTAAAAATTACAAAATGGAGAAAAGACAGAATATGTACACATTATGCATTTCATGAAGCCAAATTAAAATTATGAGCATGCTCACTACTACACTGTGATGATATCCCCCCCCAAAAAAAAACATTCAAGATGACTTAAGAAGAGATCTAAGTACAGAATTTTTCATCCTTAACTTATTTCAAATAAAATTCAATCACTTCATTACTGTTGTATCTAATTTAGTAGAATATAAAGGTTTAGCTTTGTACTTGTATATTTTCCTTTCTTCCTCTTCCAACCATATTCCTATACATTTGATACCTGGGAATTATTTTTTTCTTTTCTTCTTTTGAAGCTTCCTATTTTGACTTTTGGAAATTTCACATCAGAACTTTACTGTTAGAAAAAAGATGCAACCACATGTACGAAGGGAAAGGAAAAAAGATAACGTTGTTTCCACTGGCCACTTGAGAAATCTTCACTGATGTTTCCACTGATCACTTCAACAAAAACTTTTCATATTACACAGTTTAAATGCTTTTCATGAAACTTTGGTAGTTACAAGAAAATAACATACAGTAGCTTAATGTGATCATGTTTGTCCATGGCTATTTTGATAATGCTACCAGAATGATAGCATTAAACAATAAGAAAAAATATTTTTAAAAACAGCAGGTACAGAAAGAAGCAAACAGGACACCAGAATTTTATCACTGGTCATACAGGCATAGTCCTGCTGCACTAACTGAGCAGTTCTGCTACAGTTTAGAGAAGAACTCTGAGGGGCAGTTTGAGGGCCTCCCCTACCATCAACCATTTGCCCACTTCCCCTACCATCAACATCCCAAGAGGAATGTCAGCTCACTGAGTATGTTGAACACCTCCTTGTTGCACAGACACTATACATTTAAAAAAAAACCATGACTTTTCTAGGATCTGAATCTGAGCCTATAGGTACTGCAATCAGCATCAATAACCACTATACTGGTTGGATGGCCCTTCAGAATAGCAATAGAATCTAATTTAATTTAATACAAAAATATCAAGAAACATAAATAAGAATTTTCACAGCATTTTAATTAGGAAAATGCAAGATTTTACGAACTTTTTATAACGTTTTTAATGTAAAAGTTCATTTATGAATTGTTCAAAATATTTTGGGAAATTATTTGACCTGTACACCCCCCTCCCAAATTTAATATTTGGAGGACATTCCTCATTGGAAAAGAACACGCCGACGTAAAATTTGTAACTAGAAAAATAAGCAACCTTAGTTTGGTGCACATATTCTAAGGTTTTTTTTTTTTTTTTTTTTTTTTTTACTTCAGAAGATGGGCTTGTGTCTGTGTTTTTCTCAAAATTAAATTACTGAAAAAAATCTCATCAAACTAAGGTTATTTTTTATTTAATTTTAAATAGTTGACAGAATCAAGCAGTTTAGGAAGTTAACCCCTCCCTTGGCAATTTTTAGAATCTATTTGACCTTATTTGGTCACTTTATTTTAGTTTAAAAATTTATTCCATAATACTAAGTTGTTGTGTTGCCCATATTGCATGAAACAATAGTTGTCAGAGACTACTCCATAAAGAGATTGGACTTCTATTTTCCAGCCCCAATTTTGAGGAAAAGCACCTGGGGGAGATACAGTGTCTCCCAGCCCTCTCCCATTCCACCAATACACAAGAGGACTTTTGGCTCGCTGCATATTTTGAGTGCCACCATGCCACACCGACACTATATATCCATGTCTTCGGGATTCCCTTCGGCACTGTAGTAGGCATATGAATATGAGTGAGAGTATGTAGACTTTTATTTGTTTCAGAATATATATGTATGTAACTGTGTACATATCTGTATCTGAGTTGGTATTTATATATATATATATATATATATTTTGAATTGTACTCTTCTTCAAGAGCTTTGTATGCACATGTATATTTCTCAAGTGCCATGTATGCACATGTATATTTCTTTTTTGCATTTTATAAATGTCGTTTGCTCAGCTAGGGCTGCCTGGCAGCTAGTGGTTAACTCCCGCTGAGTTGGTAACCAATTCTGCATGGATATATCAATACAGTCAAAAGTCGTTAATCTGGACTCGCCGGGACTTCGGCGATTCCGGATTATAGATCATCAGTTTAAATCTGGTAAGATGGCATGCAGAAATTATAAAATAAAAAATATGAAACCGTAATTTATGAAATAAAGAACAATTATGATCTAAAGGGGGATGTTTCCGTAACCGGTACTTGGCGAAATTTCGGATTTGTTTACAGCGGCCAAAAAATAGCGAAGGGCCGGTTACGGAAAATTTGCCTTTCTTTCAATGTAAGTTGTTTAAGTTGCTTCGTTTTATGTGATAATACTTTCTCTTTAATTCTATAAACAGACATAATTTCTTGTTCAGTTACAAAGTCCCCCTGTTCAAGCCCTATAATTGCTGCATCGAGAATACCGACTAATTTGTCAGTCGAAATGTTTTCGTTGTCAATAACCTCTGTGTCACTTTCTTCACTATCGGAAGCGAATTATAATGACGAGGAATTTGATTTAAATCATATCAAAGACGGAGTACATCGAGATGAAATATTATATTTAGTAAGGAATTATAAGCCAAATAAAATAAAAACATCTGCCCGGAAGATAAGGATAGTGCTGACAGATCAACTTCCAATTTATTGTGCGCCGCGGCGTCCCCCCCCCCCCCCGCAGAGCAGCGTGAAATTGATAAACAGATTTCGGAATGGTTAGAGAAACAAAAGATATGCCTTTATCCATTTTTTGCAGCAATTCCACTTTTTGTTTAATGGACTTCCAAACATACTTTTGCTTTGTAGATCCTTTACATATTAGTAAATATATATCGGAAATTCTATTTGACATAATCGAAAGTTCAAGCTTACTTTTCTAAAATTGCTCTAACAGTCTGCAAAAAATAATAAGCCAGATCCAATTCGAAGATTAAGGAACAATGCAGTCTGCAACATTAACTGAATTAGATAATTTTAGCTTAGCTTATACCATCCATTATACATTAAACGCTGTGCAGAAAGTTTGTAGCTTTTGAGGTCCGGATTATAGATCATTCCGGATTATAGGTGTCCAAATTGACGCTAAAGCAAAGTTTAAAGTTTATAAAATTAAACATTTAGCAGTAGTAGCAATAAAAGCTCCCTGAGATAATATGTTGTGCAGACATTGAAGACAATAAAGAGGTTTCAAACTTAACCAATTTATTAACAATATAAAAAAGAATAAATTTAAACAATAGAGTCTTAGAAAAAATATAATATAACCATCATTCATCAAATAATATTTTTTTACCTGGTCTTCAAAAATACTGGCATTCAATACAAACAAAATGGGCTAAACAGTAATTATGCGGTCTCAAATGAAATTGGCTACACTTTTAATAAGTCCATGATCAATGGTCAAGAAAGCACCTGAAATTTAAATTAAGTCCTTGAAATTACTTAAATCCGGTCTAACTCCGATTACATTAGTTGAACATGAGGAATCGCCGCTAACTTATTTTAAATGCCACCTTCATGAAGAACATGGATGCCACCCACGGCAGTCACTCACATTGTAGCTTCTGGAACCAAGGAACTTATTCTGGAAAGGTCATCTTGTATACAGGAACCAAAGAACTTATTCAGGAACAGTCATCTTGTGGACAGGAACCAAGGAACTTATTCACCGGACTGCACGCATCCTTCAAAAGGGGCTGGAAACTGCACACCCAAGTGTCAGGAAAGCAGGAACTAGAAGGGCTGAGCCAGAGCGATGCGAGATACTTATACCAGAAGTAGGCATGACGTCATCTCACGGCAACCAATCAGCTATCGGTACCATTCGGCTTTCCAGATGACGTAACATCACGTTTCGTTTTTGCATCTTAATTAGGTTGAAACAGTCCGTTCTCAACACAAACAGTGGCAGTAAGAAAAAGAAGTAGAAGTAACTGCTATATTACATTAAAATAAGAACTAAGCCTAATAAACATTTCAAGTAGGAGAGATGATGCTGTAAAAGGGTTACAAAAAGTCATATTTTCCAACACAAATTAACGATTTTTGACTGTACCTGGATCGGAAGCCAACTCAGCGATTTACTCCCCTAACCACTATACTGTCTGGGAGACTATAATAATTTGATAATATTAAATGAATTGTTGCAGAGTCAGGATTCATATCAGGGATATATTTTCCATGTTTTCATAT